ATTATACAGCAATAAAGAAGTGGAACGGATTGCCTGAACATGTGAACGTCAGTCCTATCATGAGCCAGTTCAAGAAGTGAGCTAAAAGGTTCCTGATAAATGAAGCTATAGAAAGGGAGGAAAGCGATTTTCTGTATAATTAACATTATTGTAAGTTGATTTCCCCTCAAGGAAGGTTCCTTGATGTTGGTGAGGGGCTCTTGATTTAGGGAATTGGATCTGTGCTCCAGTTCCCCGAATTAAGCCTGAATGCTTTCCACATCCCCCCCCCCAGGCGCTGTATAATCCTCCGGGTTTAGCGCTTCCCTCTTTATTATAATAATAATGTAAGTTGATTTTCTCTCTTTAATTAAGTCATGTAAATAACTTTTGATTTTCACGCACTTAAATTACTTAGCTGTTTCAGTTTTTAAGTTATAAGCATGACTGATTTTACTGTATCTTATAGCTAAACTTTAAATAGTAATATATTACAAGGACCTCATTGGAAATAAGTCACTTCGTCTGACTTATTTGGGTCATCCTAGGTAATATATGCATGATAAGATAAGATAAGATAAGATTTCGTTCGGATTTTTAACCCCGGAGGGTTAGCCACCCAGGATAACCCAAGAAAGTCAGTGCGTCATCGAGGACTGTCTAACTTATTTCCATTGGGGTCCTTAATCTTGTCCCCCCAGGATGCGACCCACACCAGTCGACTAACACCCAGGTACCTATTTGCTGCTAGGTGAACAGGACAACAGGTGTAAGGAAACGTGTCGAAATGTTTCCACCCGCCGGGAATCGAGCCCGGGCCCTCCGTGTGTGAAGCGGGAGCTTTAGCCACCAGGCCACCGGGCCTCCTTAAATGTTATTATGTATGGTTATTGTCATCCCTAAATCTGTGTAACAACTTGTGTTTACCTGGAGTTTACCTGGAGAGAGTTTCGGGGGTCAACGCCCCCGCGGCCCGGTCTGTGACCAGGCCTCCTGGTGGATCAGCGTCTGATCAACCAGGCTGTTGCTGCTGGCTGCACGCAAACCAACGTACGAGCCACAGCCCGGCTGATCAGGAACTGACTTTAGGTGCTTGTCCAGTGCCAGCTTGAAGACTGCCAGGGGTCTGTTGGTAATCCCCCTTATGTGTGCTGGGAGGCAGTTGAACAGTCTCGGGCCCCTGACACTTATTGTATGGTCTCTTAACGTGCTAGTGACACCCCTGCTTTTCATTGGGGGGATGGTGCATCGTCTGCCAAGTCTTTTGCTTTCGTAGTGAGTGATTTTCGTGTGCAAGTTCGGTACTAGTCCCTCTAGGATTTTCCAGGTGTATATAATCATGTATCTCTCCCTCCTGCGTTCCAGGGAATACAGGTTTAGAAACCTCAAGCGCTCCAGTAATTGAGGTGTTTTATCTCCGTTATGCGCGCCGTGAAAGTTCTCTGTACATTTTCTAGGTCGGCAATTTCACCTGCCTTGAAAGGTGCTGTTAGAGTGCAGCAATATTCCAGCCTAGATAGAACAATGACCTGAAGAGTGTCATCATGGGCTTGGCCTCCCTAGTTTTGAAGGTTCTCATTATCCATCCTGTCATTTTTCTAGCAGATGCGATTGATACAATGTTATGGTCCTTGAAGGTGAGATCCTCCGACATAATCACTCCCAGGTCTTTGACGTTGGTGTTTCGCTCTATTTTGTGGCCAGAATTTGTTTTGTACTCTGATGAAGATTTAATTTCCTCATGTTTACCATATCTGAGTAATTGAAATTTCTCATCGTTGAACTTCATATTGTTTTCTGCAGCCCACTGAAAGATTTGGTTTGATGTCCGCCTGGAGCCTTGCAGTGTCTGCAATGGAAGACACTGTCATGCAGATTCGGGTGTCATCTGCAAAGGAAGACACGGTGCTGTGGCTGACATCCTTGTCTATGTCGGATATGAGGATGAGGAACAAGATGGAGCTAGTACTGTGCCTTGTGGAACAGAGCTTTCACCGTAGCTGCCTCGGACTTTACTCTGTTGACGACTACTCTCTGTGTTCTGTTAGTGAGGAAATTATAGATCCATCGACCGACTTTTCCTGTTATTCCTTTAGCGCGCATTTTGTGCGCTATTACGCCATGGTCACACTTGTCGAAGGCTTTTGCAAAGTCTGTATAATTACATCTGCATTCTTTTTGTCTTCTAGTGCATTTAGGACCTTGTCGTAGTGATCCAGTAGTTGAGACAGACAGGAGCGACCTGTTTCTAAACCCATGTTGCCCTGGGTTGTGTAACTGATGGGTTTCTAGATGGGTGGTGATCTTGCTTCTTAGGACCCTTTCAAAGATTTTTATGATATGGATGTTAGTGCTATTGGTCTGTAGTTCTTTGCTGTTGCTTTACTGCCCCCTTTGTGAGTGGGCTATGTCTGTTGTTTTTAGTAACTGAGGGACGACCCCCGTGTCCATGCTCCCTCTCCATAGGATGGAAAAGGCTCGTGATACGGCTTCTTGCAGTTCTTGATGAACACAGAGTTCCATGAGTCTGGCCCTGGGCAGAGTGCATGGGCATGTCATTTATCGCCTGTTCGAAGTCATTTGGCGTCAGGATAACATCGGATAGGCTTGTGTTAATCAAATTTTGTGGCTCCTCATAAAAAATTCATTTTGATCTTCGACTCTCAGTCTGGTTAGCGGCTTGCTAAAAACTGAGTCATATTGGGACTTGAGTAGCTCACTCATTTCCTTGCTGTCATCTGTGTAGGACCCATCTTGTTTAAGTAGGGCCCAATACTGGGCGTTGTTCTCGATTTTGATTTGGCATAGGAGAAGAAATACTTTGGTTTCTTTCGATTTCATTTATAGCTTTTAGTTCTTCCCGCGATTCCTGACTCCTAAAGGATTCTTTAGCTTAAGTTCGATGCTTGCTATTTCTCTGACCAGTGTCTCCCTGCGCATTTCAGATATATTGACCTCTTTTAGCCGCTCTGTTATTCTTTTCCGTCGCCTGTAAAGGGAGCGCCTGTCTCTTTCTATTTTACATCTACTCCTCCTTTTTCTTAGAGGAATAAGCCTTGTGCATACATCGAGTGCCACCGAGTATAATCTGTTCTAGGCATAAGTTTGGGTCTGTGTTGCTTAGTATATCTTCCCAGCTTATATCGGTTAGGACTTGGTTTACTTGTCCCACTTTATGTTTTTGTTATTGAAGTTGAATTTGGTGAATGCTCCCTCGTGACTAGTCTCATTTTGTCGGTCTGGGGCTCCACGCATACATGTCTGAACCTCAATTATGTTGTGATCTGAGTATATTGTTTTTGATATGGTGACATTTCTTATCAGATCATCATTGTTAGTGAATATGAGGTCTAGTGTATTCTCCAGTCTAGTAGGCTCTATTATTTGCTGGTTTAAATTGAATTTTGTGCAGAGATTTAAAAGCTCGTGTGAGTGTGAGTTTTCATCAGAGCTGCCTCCTGGTGTTATTACTGCAACAATATTATTTGCTATATTCCTCCATTTTAGGTGCCTTAAGTTAAATCCCCCAGGAGCAAGATGTTGGGTGCAGGAGCTGGAGATTTCCAGACAGTGGTCAATTTTTAAACAGCTGTTCCTGGAATTGCTGGGATGTTGCATCCGGAGGCTTGTAGACTACCACAATGACTAGGTTTTGGTTCTCGACCTTTACTGCTAAAACTTCCACTACGTCATTTGAGGCATTAAGCAGTTCTGTGCAAACAAGTGACTCTGCAATGTACAGGCCAACCCCCCCCCTTTTGCCTGTTCACTCTGTCACATCTGTATAGGTTGTAACCTGGGATCCATATTTCGTTGTCCAAGTGATCCTTTATGTGGTCTCAGTGAAAGCCGCGAACATTGCCTTTGCCTCTGCAAGCAGTCCACGGATGAAAGGTATTTTGTTGTTTGTTGCTGGCTTTAGACCCTGTATATTTGCAAAGAAGAATGTTATCGGACTGGTGGTATTGTTGGTACTGGGGGGGGAACCTAGATAAGATAAGATAAGATTTCGTTCGGATTTTTAACCCCGGAGGGTTAGCCACCCAGGATAACCCAAGAAAGTCAGTGCGTCATCGAGGACTGTCTAACTTATTTCCATTGGGGTCCTTAATCTTGTCCCCCAGGATGCGACCCACACCAGTCGACTAACACCCAGGTACCTATTTGCTGCTAGGTGAACAGGACAACAGGTGTAAGGAAACGTGTCGAAATTTTTCCACCCGCCGGGAATCGAACCCGGGCTCTCCGTGTGTGAAGCGGGAGCTTTAGCCACCAGACCACCGGGCCACCACTTACACCTCATTGTTAATAAAATATCAGAAATCTTGAAGTTGTATCCACATTTTTGTATCTAGATGAATGAGTGGCTCTTATAGAGGAAATTGCAACCCAATTATGGCCAGTAATTTTTCGTGGTAATAAGATATCATTTTTAGCTTGTATTCCATACTGTACAGTGTACATTAGTATTATGAAGTAATTGTAAAACAGGAAATGAGTAATATTTCTTTCTAGTGATATAACAATGCTCAGTTGAGTCTGACAAAGACCCATTGTGACCTCTCTATATTATTAAACTATTTTTTTTTTTTTGCATTACCGCTCACAGGATGAGCATGAGGAAGGGGAGGGGGGCACAATAAATTAGCCGCTCAGACAGCACCACCAAATAAAGCTCTCTGGGCATTTGACAGCACTGTATGACCCTGGTGGGTTTAGCGTTTCGTTTTGATTATAATAATAATTTAGACAATTGGTCTGGGAACAATTCATCAGCTCTTCCTAGTCATAGAAAAACCAGTTGTCGACTCAAATAGAGTACGTGTGTGTGTATGTGTGTGTGTGTGCATCTGGCTCTGCCGGTATTTAGGCAACAGGAGGGTCCAGCTGACCTAATTTTTTTCTGACGATTTTTTTTTTTATAATTCCCTCCCATATATGAGCAACATTTATTAGCCAGGCTCCCGGGAGGCAGGGCTCAATGAGGCGTAAACTTTGGTGGCCTTTAACAACCCCAACAATAACCCCCCCCCCCCAACAACAACAATGGCAGAGACTACTACAAAATTTATCTTTAAAAAACGATCAAATAGACCTGAGGGAGGAATCCGCAAGAGAAAAGCGAGAAGTGATAATAGTAAGCAGGAGATTATATGGACTACTGCAGAATACACTACCTGAAAGATCATGCTGGTTATTGTAGGTGTTTGAGGACTGGTTATTGTAGGTGTTTGATGCCTAGTTAAAGTATGTGTTTGAGGACTGGTTATTGTAGGTGTTCCCCTCAAGGAAGGTTCCTTGATGTTGGTGAGGGGCTCTTGATTTAGGGAATTGGATCTGTGCTCCAGTTCCCCGAATTAAGCCTGAATGCCTTCCACATCCCCCCCCCCCCAGGCGCTGTATAATCCTCCGGGTTTAGCGCTTCCCCCTTGATTATAATAATAATAATATTGTAGGTGTTTGATGACTAGTTAAAGTAGGTGTTTGAGGACTGGTTATTATAGGTATTAATAAATTTTATTCACTTTACCTTGTACAGTATTGGTTTTGTTTCTTAACATTTGCAAAACTCGAAGCTAAATATTTTGCGTGCTGGTTGTTAGTAAGGTTGTATGTGGTTTGGTTTCAGTTGCTTTCCTCTGCCACTTTTGTAGTTCATCCTGGCCTATATGTTCTTTTAGGCTCAAGTCTAGGATGAATCTTGCCATCTCATTTTGAATGATTTGTAATCTTTTTTTTTTCAGTTTTTTTTTATTAAAGTGGACGAACAGGAGTAATCTACATAGTAAAGTAAAAGGACACAAGTGCAACTAATGTGACATTTATTGTAGCAACGTTTCGCTCTCCAACACTACAACACTATGTAGATTGTAATAAAGTTGGTAGAATTACCGACAATATGTAAAGTAAAAGGACACAAGTGCAACTAATGTGACATTTATTGTAGCAACGTTTCGCTCTCCAGGAGCTTTATCAAGCCATTACAAACAATACAGGGACACAGAGGGTATATAAAGGCTCAGAGTGAGGTGAATACTAGTGAGGTACCATTTCGATGTTCACTAGTGGTAGTAGTAGTAGTAGTAGTGGTAGTGACAAAAGCAATTAATTCGTACATGAGTAAAAGGATATAAAAGCTATGGTTTGGTTTCAGTTGCTTTCCTCTGCCACTTTTGTAGTTCATCCTGGCCTATATGTTCTTTTAGGCTCAAGTCTAGGATGAATCTTGCCATCTCATTTTGAATGATTTGTAATCTTTTTTTTTCAGTTTTTTTTTATTAAAGTGGACGAACAGGAGTAATCTACATAGTAAAGTAAAAGGACACAAGTGCAACTAATGTGACATTTATTGTAGCAACGTTTCGCTCTCCAACACTACAACACTATGTAGATTGTAATAAAGTTGGTAGAATTACCGACAATATGTAAAGTAAAAGGACACAAGTGCAACTAATGTGACATTTATTGTAGCAACGTTTCGCTCTCCAGGAGCTTTATCAAGCCATTACAAACAATACAGGGACACAGAGGGTATATAAAGGCTCAGAGTGAGGTGAATACTAGTGAGGTACCATTTCGATGTTCACTAGTGGTAGTAGTAGTAGTAGTAGTGGTAGTGACAAAAGCAATTAATTCGTACATGAGTAAAAGGATATAAAAGCTATGGTTTGGTTTCAGTTGCTTTCCTCTGCCACTTTTGTAGTTCATCCTGGCCTATATGTTCTTTTAGGCTCAAGTCTAGGATGAATCTTGCCATCTCATTTTGAATGATTTGTAATCTTTTTTTTTCAGTTTTTTTTTTATTAAAGTGGACGAACAGGAGTAATCTACATAGTAAAGTAAAAGGACACAAGTGCAACTAATGTGACATTTATTGTAGCAACGTTTCGCTCTCCAGGAGCTTTATCAAGCCATTACAAACAATACAGGGACACAGAGGGTATATAAAGGCTCAGAGTGAGGTGAATACTAGTGAGGTACCATTTCGATGTTCACTAGTGGTAGTAGTAGTAGTAGTAGTGGTAGTGACAAAAGCAATTAATTCGTACATGAGTAAAAGGATATAAAAGCTATTACTTGGGTAACATAAAAATAGGTTGGACAAATATAAACTGGAATGAGGCAGGTTGTTTCAGTGTACACTCTCTGTGCTTTGTGTAGTATAACAGGAGAGACTATGTGATGGCAGGGTTTACTGTTTTCAGGAGGATTCTTGCTAAGACTTCGGAGATGGTGAAGCACCGAAATTCCACCAATCATCTTATGAAATTCAGAGACGCCCAATTAGTGATAAAAGAAACTAATTTCCGCACACGCAAGTGCCTTGAATCAGCACTGATCGCTGTTTCGAATACAATTAAACAAAACAACGGCAGCTTCACCATCTCCGAAGTCTTAGCAAGAATCCTCCTGAAAACAGTAAACCCTGCCATCACATAGTCTCTCCTGTTATACTACACAAAGCACAGAGAGTGTACACTGAAACAACCTGCCTCATTCCAGTTTATATTTGTCCAACCTATTTTTATGTTACCCAAGTAATAGCTTTTATATCCTTTTACTCATGTACGAATTAATTGCTTTTGTCACTACCACTACTACTACTACTACTACCACTAGTGAACATCGAAATGGTACCTCACTAGTATTCACCTCACTCTGAGCCTTTATATACCCTCTGTGTCCCTGTATTGTTTGTAATGGCTTGATAAAGCTCCTGGAGAGCGAAATGTTGCTACAATAAATGTCACATTAGTTGCACTTGTGTCCTTTTACTTTACATATTGTCGGTAATTCTACCAACTTTATTACAATCTACATAGTGTTGTCTAAGAACCAGGTTCTGAATTCTCTGTATTAGTACATTCACACCACACATTGCCCTCAAACAGGACATCTCTACTGCCTTTAGCCTCCTCTTCACTGCATCATTTAACGCCCATGCCTGATACTTATACGTACTGTAAAAATGTTGATATTGCACTCCAGTGATCCATTACCTTTTTTGCCTCCATAGATAATTTTTCTTGTCAGAGGTGCCTTAACACGACTACTTCCCCTGCCCCCCTTCACTATTATTCACCTTGTCTGTATTTCTCCCTAAATTGAAATTCTGTTTTCCTCTGCTGATGAATTATTTTCATATTAATACTGTATTTATTCTGAAGTATTTGATGACTTAGAGGGTATCATTAGTTCTGTTTATATACAGTATTCCAGTGTTACATTGTACCTAACAATCAGAAGATAGTAACAAAACTGCACAGCAGTATTGTGTATATATTTTGATTTGTTTTTAATTGCCATTGCACTTTTCAGGTAGTAGTGAAGATGATACAAAAGTAATCAAGAAGGAGAAAAAAGTGGATATGAGAAACCCTCTGGTTCAGAGAAGTAAGAATAGAGGCAGGGTACATGAAGACGATAACACTTCAAGTGATGACAGTGATGATATAAGGTATACTGTATTAGTATAAAATAGTTATACTGTTTTACACAATTTATCTTCATTGTTACGTGTGCCAGTTCTTTCCTTAAGCATTGGCCTTTGCCTCTACTTCAGTACATGCAGTATAGGTATTAAAAATACATGTATTATCAAAAGAGAAATACAGCCTCTTCTCACTTCATGACAGAGTTCTGTTCCTAATACTGCATCACTAAATGAATTCACTGCTAAACAAGGAGCATACTATAATGGCAGTGGGTTTATGTCAACCATCTTTGATATTGCTTTAATGTCACCATTGCACCATTTATAACATTTTTAAGTATATTTTTAAATGTTTATACAGTAGTGTACTGTATATAGTAATAAACAGAATAGGGGAAATCAGCTCTAATATTCATTATTTAGGTATGCATGCTGGTCAGAGAGCCCATCGTAAGTCCTAGGCATCGATAAACGAGTACGCTGCTATGTGAGGAGAGGCTGTATTGTATAATGAACATGAAAGTTATGGAAATACTGAAACTTTAGCAGGTCTGTAACCCACTGTAAGAGCATGAATATAGACAATCACACGGATTAATGGATGTTATAGTTGCCAGTGGTACTAGTACATTTGGCCACAACTTACGGACTTTGTTCAGCAATAATCATTTCACTAAATAAACCAAGCATGCATTTAACTTTTGCTGTAACTACAAAAACCAACCAGAGCATCGTAAAATTTATTTCCTGCACTACAGCAGAACCCCCATATCCGTGGATTCAGTTTCCATGGTTTCAGTTATCTGCGGTTTACCATGGCCCAAAAATAACCCTTAATCTTGCTTAATAATGGCTCAAAGCACAAAATTAGTGATGGTAGCAGTTCTTTAAAGCCTAAGAGAAGCCATCACTGAAAAAGCGATAATTCCCAACTATTGTGAGTAATTTATCAATTAAACTTCTTCATAGGTATGTATGTAAATGAAAAATTACTTACATATAGGGTTAGTTACTATTTACGATCTCAGGTATCTGCAGTAGGTCTTGGACCATATGCCCCACAAGTACAGGGAGGATTACTGCCTTTCACTAGTATTATACAATACTAATTAAAAGTTAATCTGATCTTAGATAGCTAGGTAATATTATATTATAAATATATATTGGACCCTTGGTTTTCGGCTGGTGTGGAAATCGGCCAATTCGGAAGTCGAGCACTTTTTTGGGCAAAATTTCTCCCCGGATTTCATGCATCCACTTGGAAATCGTTGTTACCAGACACATTCACCTGAAAAAAAACCATACCCCGGCCGGGATTGAACCCGCGGTCATAGAGTCTCAAAAATCCAGCCCGTCGCGTTAGCCACTAGACCAGCTAGCCACAATAAGATTCGTCCAACTAGGTATATTTCTACACCATAGGAAGGTTAGCACAGGCACCACTGTGACCACAAATGCAAGTTTTTACAGACGAATCTCCAGCTAGCGTGGCCGTGACGAACTCTAGCTCAAGTCCCTTCACTGCCGGCCGGGGTATGGTTTGTTTGCAATCGTGTCATTACGATTTCGTGAGTCATGTTGATGGCAGTGAAGGGACTTGAGCTAGAGTTCGTCACGGCCACGCTAGCTGGAGATTCGTCTGTAAAAACTTGCATTTGTGGTCACAGTGGTGCCTGTGCTAACCTTCCTATGGTGTAGAAATATACCTAGTTGGACGAATCTTATTGTGGCTAGCTGGTCTAGTGGCTAATGCGACGGGCTGGAGTTTTTGAGACTCTATGACCGTGGGTTCAATCCCAGCCGGGGTATGGTTTGTTTGCAATCGTGTCATTACGATTTCTTGAGTCACATTCACCTGGGCCGCTCATACGTTCATGACTCACTCTTGGGCACATTAAATGTCTTATTTTAGGTTAATTTAGACATTTTCATTAATCCATCTATGATATTTCTTCAAAATTATAGAAGAAACACATTACATAGCATATAAACATGCCTTTGTTACTCGTTCACTAAGAGTGTCCCCCGAGTCTTAACATAATAATAATCGCTCTTGGGCACATTAAATGTCTTATTTTAGGTTAATATAGACATTTTCATTAATCCAACTATGATATTTTCTTCAAAATTATATAAGAAACACATTACATAGAATATAGCATATAAACATGCTATGTTTATATGCTATCGAGTGGTGAGTCAGGTGGAGGGTAAACATTACGTTTTCTCTGGTTGAGCATTAGAGAAAACTGAATCTGGCATGAATTATTCATTACTTCTCCTTTTGTTTATGATGGCATCTAAAGGTAGTTGTTAGAAACAATTAAATTCAGTGAGCGTGGTTTGTTGATGGTAATAATATGGCTGTGTTCTGCAGTGTAGGTAGCCAATAGGTGTAGCCCAGAGGGACTACATATGTGTACCTACATCTACCGGCTACCTACACTGACTTCTTACAAATAAATACTACTCACCTCTCGCCCTACATTAAGATTATAAATATTTTAAGGTAAGTAATGAATGTACTAACCACTGAAGAGCTGCAACACTATAGTTTTTCTCTATAAAATTTATTTTTTGTTAATATTTTTGGGTGTCTGAAATGGATTAATTGGATTTACATTATTTCTTATGGGAAATATTACTTCAGTTTTTGGCCATTTTGGATTTAGGGCAACCTTCTGGAACAGATTAATTACGAAAGCTAGGGGTCTACTGTACTGCGTATAACTTGTAGCAAGGATAGGAATGTTGCCTAAATTAGTTGTCGTGCAAAATTAAATATGCCCATAACATAATAATGCATGTGAATACATGTACATGTATATGTGTTTGTCCATAAGAACAATTTTGAAAAAATTATTTAAAGTAAGATTTGACATTTTTTGACAACTGGCTAAATACCTCAACATATATGCCATACAAATATGAATCAAATATTGTAATTTTTTTTTTAACATTTCAAATTAATCTGAGCTCTTGTTGAGGAAAAAGTTATTGTATAGACTATTTATGAACCAGTATATGTCAGGGACTCTTATTAATGATAAAAGTGAGGTACTTGTCTAGAAAATCTAGAAAAAAAGGTCTTGATGTATAATTTATGCATGTTTTATAGATAACTACAGTGTACAGTAAGGTAACTGCATCATTCCAACTGCACTCTTTTAAATTTATTATTGCCTAGTTCCTGGACCTTTTGTTAATGCATGTTCTTATATACAGCAATTCATAGGATAAATATGAGGTTTATAAGAAACAGGCAGCTCTACCTGCAAAATTTAAAATTAGATTTACAAGTGGATTCCTGTTAAGTATCTTTTTAAGTAAATAACTTTATTTGCTTGTCATTCCAAAAAATACTCACTGTTTAGAATTTTTTTAGAATAAGGGCCAAAATGAATTTATCAGTAGAAGAAAAAAAATGCTTTAGTCACTTTTTTGTATTAGTATTTATAGACTAATTTTACAAGCTGCTGATATATTGTATCCAGTGCTGCATACAAGTCTCAGCGCACATGTGAACGAGAAGGACCAAAAGACATGGGGGCTACTTCAACGGTGCAGTTTGAAACAGAAAAAGATAGGGATGCTCAAGCTATTTATGAAAGAACACTTCAAGTCAATAAGGTAAGAGAAAAAATACTTCATGTATCACCGAGAAATACACAATGGAAAAATATAAAAATATTGATTCTCTACTATTAAATATGATTATATTTAAATATGATTTATCAGTTTAAACTTTTTTTAATATAACTGTGCATGTGATCGATTGCCTGCATAATGATGTGGATTGGAGGCAGTACAGAGTTAATAAAAGTATTATCCAGAGGGCTGAGATGGAGGAGTTGAGACGATTTGATTATTTAGAGAGGATGGAGCAAAATAGGATGACTAGGAGGGTGTATAAATCTATAATGGAGGGAAGATAGGATAAGGGGGTCATCCTAGGAAAGGATGGAGGTAGGGGGTAAAGGAGGTTTTGTGTGCAAGGAGCTTGGACATCCAGCAGGCATGTATGAGCATGAGTGAGTGGAGAAAAATTTTTTTGGGGATCTGACAAGGTGTTAGTGTAAGCAAGGTAACATTTTGTGAAGGGATTCAGGAAAACCAGTTAGCCAAACTGGGGTCCTAAAGATGGGAAGTACAATGCCTGCTTTCTAAAGGAGGGGTGGAGATATTTGCTGTTTGGAGTGACATGAACTGTTGTGTGTTAAAAATAATAATAATGATAAAAATAATTATAAGAACAATAATAACAATGTAATAATATTCACACAATTGAATGCTGTGTGAATGTGTACCCTTAGGTTGCTATACTGTACTGTATTTCACATAGTGTATATATAGTACATACAAAGTCATTTTAAGATTAATAATGATAAACATGAATGTCTTTGTACTAAAGCAAACAACAGACTTAAACAATTGTTTTTCAGCTGATTCAGTTTTTTTTTAGTTTAAAATATATTTTTTTTAATTCCACTCTTAACACTCTGTTCGTACTTATCTTTACCAACATGTATATTGTTTTTGAGGCCAAGATCTTTATATTATCTTATAAAGCTTAATTGAGACATATCCAGTCCATGGAGCCTCAGGCTACACTTCTAAATGGACCTAGTTGTGGCAATAACCTAAATGTGTCTCTGAACATGGGGGAAGGGCTGAAAAATGTTTTGGGAATGCCCACATACATAACTGGTTTTCTTTTTACTGTGTATCTATTGTTTGCCATTTTAGAAAAAAAAAATATTATAATAGCCTTTCCTACCCAACAGGAAACTAGAGGGCAAGCAGATGATAAAATCTACCGTGGCTTAAATAACTACGCTCAGTTTTATGAAAAGAAAGATACAGCTCAGGGCAATGCTGCAAGTGGTGGTGTTCGCAAAGGCCCCATTCGAGCACCTGACCATCTGAGAGCAACTGTAAGATGGGACTACCAGCCAGATCTTTGCAAAGATTTTAAGGAGACTGGTTTCTGTGGCTTTGGAGGTATGTGCTGTATATTTATTCTAGTAGTTTATCTGTTCTCCAGTTACACTAATTCTTACACTATTTATTTGGCTCTTTTCAATAGAAATATTTAAATTTCTTAAATTTATACATTCCCTAAAGAGTTTTCACCATGCCTATTTTATTGCAGAGTGAGAAATTTCTGTTGATTAACAAAAGGATAAGTAACCTAATCAAGATGCATTTCTGTTAGGGATTTGAGATTTGCTCTAATGATAGATGTGGCTTCTAGTGTACAGCAGTATTCCATCCTAGAGAGTATAAGTGCATTAAAAAAAAAGTCATCATCATTGACTTGATTTTATTTATATCAAAAGTTTTTTTAATCCAGTAGAGTATATATTCTTTGTTATAATTTATATAGTTATTCTGTTGTTTTCTCTAAGTGTAAAAATTTTCAAGTACATATGTAGTAGGTTGGTAGACAGCAACCACCCAGGGAGGTACTACCGTCCTGCCAAGTGAGTGTAAAACGAAAGTCTGTGATTGTTTTACATGATGGAAGGATTGCTGGTGTCTTTTGTCTGTCTCATAAATATGCAAGATTACAGGCATGTCTTGCTACTTCTACTTACACTTAGGTCACACTACACATACATGTACACGTTTATTTATACACACTCATCTGAGTTTTCTTTGATTTTATCTTAATAGTTCTTGGTCTTATTACTTTTCCTTTTATATACATGGGGAAGTGGAATAAGAATCTTGCCTCCGTAAGCCATGCATGTTGTAAAAGTCAACTAAAATGCCGGGAACAATGGGCTAGTAACCCCTTTTCCTGTAAAGATTACTAAAAAGAATAAGAAGAAAATTGTCAAAGTGGGAAGTCTGAATGTGCGTGGATGTTGTGCAAATGATAAGAAAGAGATGATTGTGGATGTTATGAATGAGAAGAAACTGGATGTCCTGGCTTTAAGTGAAACAAAGCTGAAGGGGTGGGAGAGTTTCAATGGAGAGGAATAAATGGGATTAGGTCAGGGGTTTCAAATAGAGTTAGAGCTAAAGAAGGAGTAGCAATAATGTTGAAGGATAAGCTATGACAGGAAAAGAGGGACTACAAATGTATAAATTCAAGGATTATGTGGAGTAAAATAAAGATTGGATGTGAAAAGTGGGTTATAGTAAGCGTGTATGCACCTGGAGAAGAGAGAAGTGTAGAGGAGAGAGAGAGATTCTGGGAAATGTTGAGTGAATGCGTGGGGAGTTTTGAATCAAGTGTGAGAGTAATGGTGGTTGGGGATTTCAATGCTGAAGTGGGTAAAAATGTTATGGAGGGAGTAGTAGGTAAATTTGAGGTGCCAGGGGTAAATGTAAATGGGGAGCCTTTAAATGAGCTATGTGTAGAAAGAAATTTGGTAATAAGTAATACATATTTTATGAAAAAGAGGATAAATAAATATACAAGGTATGATGTAGCACGTAATGAAAGTAGTTTGTTAGATTATGTATTGGTGGATAAAAGGTTGATGGGTAGGCTCCAGGATGTACATGTTTATTGAGGGGCAACTGATATATCTGATCATTATTTAGTTGTAGCTACAGTTAGAGTAAGAGGTAGATGGGAAAAGAGGAAGGTGGCAACAACAAGTAAGAGGGAGGTAAAAGTGTATAAACTAAGGGAGGAGGAAGTTCGGGCGAGATATAACCGACTATTGGCAGAAAGGTGGGCTAGTGCAAAGATGAGTATGCAGTATTAGAATGTGGGGCAGAAGTTTGTGGTTATAGGAGGGTGGGGGCAGGAGGAAAGAGGAGTGATTGGTGGAATGATGAAGTAAAGGGTGTGATAAAAGAGAAAAAGGTAGCTTATGAGAAGTTTTTACAAAGCAGAAGTGTTATAAGAAGAGCAGAGTATATGGAGAGTAAAAGAAAGGTGAAGAGAGTGGTGAGAGAGTGCAAAAGGAGAGCAGATGATAGAGTGGGAGAGGCACTGTCAAGAAATTTTAATGAAAATAAGAAAAAATTTGAGTGAGTTAAACAGGTAAGAAAGCCTAGGGAAAGTATGGATTTGTCAGTTAAAAACAGAGTAGGGGAGTTAGTAGATGGGGAGAGGGAGGTATTAGGTAGATGGCGAGAATATTTTGAGGAACTTTTAAATGTTGAGGAAGAAAGGGAGGCGGTAATTTCATGCACAGGCCAGGGAGGTATACCATCTTTTAGAAGTGAAGAAGAGCAGAATGTAAGTGTGATGGAGGTACGTGAGGCATACATAGAATGAAAGGGGTAAAGCAGCTGGAAGTGATGGGATCATGACAGAAATGTTAAAAGCAGGGGGGGATATAGTGTTGGAGTGGTTGGTACTTTTGTTTAATAAATGTATGAAGAGGGGAAGGTACCTAGGGATTGGCGGAGAGCATGTATAGTCCCTTTATAAAAGGGAAAGGGGACAAAAGAGATTGTAAAAATTATAGAGGAATAAGTTTACTGAGTATACCAGGAAAAGTATACGGTAGGTTATAATTGAAAGAATTAGAGGTAAGACAGAATGTAGGATTGCGGATGGGCAGGGAGGCTCAGAGTGGGTAGGGGATGTGTAGATCAAGTGTTTACATTGAAGCATATATGTGAACAGTATTTAGATAAAGGTAGGGAAGTTTTTAATTGCATTTATGGATTTAGAAAAGGCATATGATAGAGTGGATAGAGGAGCAATGTGGCAGATGTTGCAAGTATATGGAATAGGTGGTAAGTTACTAAATGCTGTAAAGAGCTTTTATGAGGATAGTGAGGCTCAGGTTAGGGTGTGTAGAAGAGAGGGAGAATACTTCCCGGTAAAAGTAGGTCTTAGACAGGGATGTGTAATGTCACCATGGTTGTTTAATATATTTATAGATGGGGTTGTAAAAGAAGTAAATGCTAGGTGTTCAGGAGAGGGGTGGGATTAAATTATGGGGAATCAAATTCAAAATGGGAATTGACACAGTTACTTTTTGCTGATGATATTGTGCTTATGGGAGATTCTAAAGAAAAATTGCAAAGGTTAGTGGATGAGTTTGAGAATGTGTGTAAAGGTAGAAAGTTGAAAGTGAACATAGAAAAGAGTAAGGTGATGAGGGTATCAAATGATTTAGATAAAGAAAAATTGGATATCAAATTGGGGAGGAGGAGTATGGAAGAAGTGAATGTTTTCAGATACTTGGGAGTTGACGTGTCGGCGGATGGATTTATGAAGGATGAGGTTAATCATAGAATTGATGAGGGAAAAAAAGGTGAGTGGTGCGTTGAGGTATATGTGGAGTCAAAAACGTTATCTATGGAGGCAAAGAAGGGAATGTATGAAAGTATAGTAGTACCAACACTCTTTATATGGATGTGAAGCTTGGGTGGTAAATGCAGCAGCGAGGAGACGGTTGGAGGCAGTGGAGATGTCCTGTCTAAGGGCAATGTGTGGTGTAAATATTATGCAGAAAATTCGGAGTGTGGAAATTAGGAGAAGGTGTGGAGTTAATAAAAGCATTAGTCAGAGGGCAGAAGAGGGGTTGTTGAGGTGATTTGGTCATTTAGAGAGAATGGATCAAAGTAGAATGACATGGAAAGCATATAAATCTATAGGGGAAGGAAGGAGGGGTAGGGGTCGTCCTCGAAAGGGTTGGAAAGAAGGGGTAAAGGAGGTTTTGTGGGCGAGGGGCTTGGACTTCCAGCAAGCGTGCATGAGCGTGTTAGATAGGAGTGAATGGAGACGAATGATACTTGGGACCTGACGATCTTTGGAGTGTGAGCAGGGTAATATTTAGTGAAGGGATTCAGGGAAACCGGTTATTTTCATATAGTCAGACTTGAGTCCTGGAAAATGGCGAAGTACAATGCCTGCACTTTAAAGGAGGGGTTTGGGATATTGGCAGTTTGGAGGGATATGTTGTGTATCTTTTTACGTATATGCTTCTAAACTGTTGTATTCTGAGCACCTCTGCAAAAGCAGTGATAATGTGTGAGTGTGGTGAAAGTGTTGAATGATGATGAAAGTATTTTCTTTTTGGGGATTTTCTTTCTTTTTTGGGTCACCCTGCCTCGGTGGGAGATGGCCGACTTGTTGAAAAAAAAAAAATGTTTATTTTCACATTTTATATTTTCCCTTCTGGTTTGTGGTATGTATTCTGCTTCAGTTTTAATTTCTTAATTGTTTCTATAACAGAAGAGCTGGAGATTTTCTTAGTCATGTTTCCTGTAACCCACTGGAAAATTTGGTTTACATCACTGGAGGCCTACCATGTTACCAGTTGTTACATATATTTTAGTATATATGTGTCCTACCTTTCCTTTCATCTCAGATTTATACACCCTTTTGGTTAACCTATCTTGCTCCATTTTTTTAAATGACCTCAGACATGAATCATCCTACTACAGTGGACCTCTGACATTTGATATTAATCCGTTCCTGAGAGCTCATCGAATGTCGAAAATATCAAAAGTCGAATTAATTTTCCCCATAAGAAATAATGGAAATCAAATTAATCCGTGCAAGACACCCAAAAGTATGAAAAAAAAAAATTTTACCACATGAAATATTAAGTTTAATGCAATAGAATAGTTACAATAACAACAATAAGAATAGATTAATAACAATAGAATAATTGACACTTACCTTTAATGAAGATCTGGTGATGATTGATGGGATGGAAGGAGGGGAGATTGTGGATGGTGTTAGTGTTTAGAAGGGGAATCCCCTTCCATTAGGACTTGGGGTATCAAGTCTTTTTCCAGGGTTACTTCTCTTCTTCTTTTAATGCCACTAGGACCAGCTTGAGAGTCACTGGACTTCTGTCGCACAACATATCTGTCCATAGAGGCCTGTACCTCCCGTTCCAGCTCCAACACACGCACTCCACTTTCGTACTTTGCAATTATCTTTCTTCATTTCAATAGTCATTAGCACCTTTTTTCTCGAAGGGTTGGCACTAGAATCTTTCTTGGGGCCCATGGTTACTTATTTTGCAGAAACGAGCACCAAAAACAGTGATAATATGGATAATATGGAATGTACCGAATGTGTCCTTAGATATGCGCACACTGACTGGCTTGTAAACACTGGCACACACGGGGCAGTTCAGGCCACACGTAGGGGACACGTTCTGTACGAATCGTATAGAACTAGCGGATTTCAATCAAATGGGTCGAGGCGAAATTTTTTGCAATAAAATGCATCGAATGTTGGATTTATCGGCAATGTCGATGCCATCGAATGTCGGGGGTCCACTGTAATGTACAAAATGGTCCACTTTTTTTTTTTTTTACTCTGAAGGCTGATATAAAAATTTATTTTTAACCAATTCCACAGAACAAAATATAGCGCACCGATTAAGAAAAGTTATAGTAAATATTGTAGCTAAGTATAGTTTGAGAGACTTAATATTACTTCTTATTTTTCAGATAGCTGCAAGTTCTTACATGACCGGACAGATTACAAGTTAGGATGGCAGCTCGAGCTAGAATCCAGCAAGCAAAGAGGAGGAGACTGTGATTCTGATGAAAACTGGGAGATCCCAAGTGATGATGAACATCTCCCGTTCAAGTGTTTCATCTGCAGACAGTCGTTCTCAGATCCAGTTGTTACTAAATGCAAACATTATTTTTGTGAAAAATGTGCCCTTGACCACTTCAAAACAACAAAACGTTGCTATGTATGTAGTGAAAATACAGGTGGAATGTTTAACCCTGCTACTGAGCTTATAGCTAGATTGCAAAATGAAAAAGTGTGTGACAGTGATTAAATTTTGTTTAAAATCTTATTAATTGATGTAAAATATGATTGTAGAATTTCTGAAGTAGGTCTAATTTTTATTTTATTATACGTGGGCAGCTTTGTAGCCCCTTGTGGGTTTGCCTTTTTTTTTGATTTTTTATTATAATATATACAGTGTTGTATGTTCTTTTTTTTTTTTTTAAGAAGAATTCTATTTATTCTTTTGAATCGCAATATTAAGAAAAAAAAAATTTAGGGTTTAAAATTTTTTTTTTTTTTTTTTTTTTTTTTTTTTTTTTTGTTGTTTGTCACTTGAAAAGTCCAGGTCATAACAAAGATCCCTGACATAACTTAGTTTTTTTATCATTTATTTTGTTTACATATGCCAAAAAGTAAAAAATGTTCATTACATTTGATGCCTTTAATATTGGTTTTTAAATTTTCATGAGATATAGCAATGAAAAAATGTATTTTAAAAGATGGGAAAAAAAGATCATTAAGTTTCATGTAGATAAAATTCACAAATGTGATGAGCATGTATATCAGCCAAAAAAAGAGGGTTTTTGAATCCAGAAGGGTATGAATCAATAGTTTTATTTTATTTATATTGGCACAGTATCTCGTAATTTTAAAATTTAATTTCTTTATTGCATAGACTCAGCTTTTTTTAATTTTCGGGAAAATTTTGTTGCTTTGTCAGGTAATGAAAATTTAATTTTTTCTAAAAAGAAAAGCTTTGATGTTATGAAATTATATTTAGCCTGATATACAGTATTGAAGGAAAATAGTATTTAAAGTTATTTTTTTTCCCTTTTAGTACCCTGTCTTTACAAACTCCTGCCAAGGCAGGTGACTCAAAGAAGGAAACACTTCCTATCTTCATTAAAACTCTGCCTTGCCAGAAGTATGGACTCGCAATTCAGATAACCCCTTTTACTGCGAATAGAAAATTTTTAAAATAATCAACCCCCAGGCAAGAAAAATAAACAAATTTGGTAAATTTTTCAAAACAGTCAAGCATAATTCAAATGTTGCCTTTGCAGTACCTGTACTTAAGTGGCCCAGTAAAACCCAATCTGGGCCCAGGATGAAAATCATGTTAAACTGTAAAAGCTGCATGTTTTTGCCCAGGGTTAAAACTTCAGAGTGAGGCACTTTACTTCCCACCTCCAAAACTCAAGTCCAGCTAACCAGTTTTCCTGAATGCTTTCATGAAATATTATGATAATTATACAACTGCAGTTTCACAATACTTCACACGCACACATCCAAACATTCAATGCTTTAGTCAAAATTAAGCATATCATCTTCTGTTTTAATTGGTTTAGATCAAAATTTAGAAATCATTGCTACTTCAGATGCAAGGTGTTTCTATATTTATGTGATACAGTTGATACTATCCCAGTTCCTCTCTCGTAAAGCAAACCCATATAAATGTTGAATATAATGATACATTGAAACTTTATGAATGATACCCTTGTGCTACCCATTATCCCTGCATCGTTCTCTGCCTGGTGGTGCTGTATGACCCTTGTAGGTTTAGCACTTCTTTTTGATAATGATAATAATATGAATAACATTTCCTGAAAAATGTTTTCCAAAAAATATGAGTGCACTGCACATGTAATACCATGTGCTTGTATGCAAAAGCTAAATGAATTTGGTTCCAAAACAATATAAAATATAAAAAATTCAATCATACTCCTTATACAATTAACACATTGCCAAAATAGGGAAAAATAAACATTTCTTGATTTCTTCTTATGAAAAATTTATGAGCATGCTACATGGATACCAATGGCCATTTTTTTTTTTATTAACACATCAGCCGTTTCCCACCAAGGCAGGGTGGCCCAAAAAAGAAAAACTATCATCATTCACTCTATCACTGTCTTGCCAGAGGCATGCTTACACTACAGTTATAAAACTGCAACAACATCCCTCCTTCAGAGTGCCGGCACTGTACTTCCCATCTCCAGGAGTCAAGTCCGGCCTGCCGGTTTCCCTGAGTCCTTTCATAAATGTTACCTTACTTACACTCCAACAATATGTCAAGTCCTAAAAACCATTTGTCTCCATTTGCTCCTATCTAACATGCTCATGCACGCTTGCTGAAAGTCCAAACCCCTCACACACAAAACCTTTATCCCCTCCCTCCAACCTTTCCTAGGCTGACCCCTACCCTGCCTTCCCTCCACTACAGATTTATGCCCTCTTGAAGTCGTTCTATTTCGTTCCATTATCTATAAATGACAGTAGTTTGTTGGATTATGTATTGGTAGATAAAAGACTGTTGAGTAGACTTCAGGATGTACATGTTTATAGAGGGGCCACAGATATATCAGATCACTTTCTAGTTGTAGCTATACTGAGAGTAAAAGGTAGATGGGATACAAGGAGAATAGAAGCATCAGGGAAGAGAGAGGTGAAGGTTTATAAACTAAAAGAGGAGGCAGTTAGGGTAAGATATAAACAGCTATTGGAGGATAGATGGGCTAATGAGAGCATAGGCAATGGGGTCGAAGAGGTATGGGGTAGGTTTAAAAATGTAGTGTTAGAGTGTTCAGCAGAAGTTTGTGGTTACAGGAAAGTGGGTGCAGGAGGGAAGAGGAGCGATTGGTGGAATGATGATGTAAAGAGAGTAGTAAGGGAGAAAAAGTTAGCATATGAGAAGTTTTTTACAAAGTAGAAGTGATGCAAGGAGGGAAGAGTATATGGAGAAAAAGAGAGAAGTTAAGAGATGGTGAAAGCAATGTAAAAAGAGAGCAAAGAGAGAGAGTGGGTGAGATGTTATCAACAAATTTTGTTGAAAATAAGAAAAAGTTTTGGAGTGAGATTAACAAGTTAAGAAAGCCTAGAGAACAAATGGATTTGTCAGTTAAAAATAGGAGAGGAGAGTTATTAAATGGAGAGTTAGAGGTATTGGGAAGATGGAAGGAATATTTTGAGGAATTGTTAAATGTTGATGAAGATAGGGAAGCTGGGGATTTCGTGTATAGGGCAAGGAGGAATAACATCTTGTAGGAGTGAGGAAGAGCCAGTTGTGAGTGTGGGGGAAGTTCGTGAGGCAGTAGGTAAAATGAAAGGGGGTAAGGCAGCCGGGGATTGATGGGATAAAGATAGAAATGTTAAAAGCAGGTGGGGATATAGTTTTGGAGTGGTTGGTGCAATTATTTAATAAATGTATGGAAGAGGGTAAGGTACCTAGGGATTGGCAGAGAGCATGCATAGTTCCTTTGTATAAAGGCAAAGGGGATAAAAGAGAGTGCAAAAATTATAGGGGGATAAGTCTGTTGAGTGTACCTGGTAAAGTGTATGGTAGAGTTTTTTAATTGAAAAGAATTAAGAGTAAGACGGAGAATAGGATAGCAGATGAACAAGGAGGCTTTAGGAAAGGTAGGGGGGGTGTGGACCAGTGTGTTTACAGTGAAACATATAAGTGAACAGTATTTAGATAAGGCTAAAGAGGTCTTTGTGGCATTTATGGATTTGGAAAAAGGCGTATGACAGGGTGGATAGGGGGGCAATGTGGCAGATGTTTCAAGTGTATGGTGTAGGAGGTAGGTTACTGAAAGCAGTGAAGAGTTTTTACGAGGATAGTGAGGCTCAAGTTAGAGTATGTAGGAAAGAGGGAAATTTTTTCCAGTAAAAGTAGGCCTTAGACAAGGATGTGTGATGTCACCGTGGTTGTTTAATATATTTATAGATGGGGTTGTAAGAGAAGAAAAGCGGGGTTTTGGCAAGAGGCGTGGAGTTAAAAGATAAAGAATCACACACAAAGTGGGAGTTGTCACAGCTGCTCTTTGTGATGACACTGTGCTCTTGGGAGATTCTGAAGAGAAGTTGCAGAGATTGGTGGATGAATTTGGTAGGTGTGCAAAAGAAAGAAATTAAAGGTGAATACAGGAAAGAGAAAAGGTTTGAGGATAACAAAAAAGATTAGGTGATGAAAGATTGAATATCAGATTGGAGGGAGAGAGTATGGAGGAGGTGAACGTATTCAGATATTTGGGAGTGGACGTGTCAGCGGATGGGTCTATGAAAGATGAGGTGAATCATAGAATTGATGAGGGAAAAAGAGTGAGTGGTGCACTTAGGGTCTGTGGAAACAAAGAACTTTGTCCTTGGAGGCAAAGAGGGGAATGTATGAGAGTATAGTTTTACCAACGCTTTATATGGGTGTGAAGCGTGGGTGATGAATGTTTGCAGCGAGGAGAAGGCTGGAGGCAGTGGAGATGTCATGTCTGAGGGCAATGTGTGGTGTGAATATAATGCAGAGAATTCGTAGTTTGGAAGTTAGGAGGAGGTGCGGGATTACCAAAAACTGTTGTCCAGAGGGCTGAGGAAGGGTTGTTGAGGTGGTTCGGACATGTAGAGAGAATGGAGCGAAACAGAATGACTTCAAGAGTGTATCAGTCTGTAGTGGAAGGAAGGCGGGGTAGGGGTCGGGCCTAGGAAGGTGGTGGGAGGGAGGGGTAAAGGAGGTTTTGTGTGCGAGGGGCTTGGACTTCCAGCAGGCATGCGTGAGCGTGTTTGATAGGAGTGAATGGAGACAAATGGTTTTTAATACTTGACGTGCTGTTGGAGTGTGAGCAAAGTAACATTTATGAAGGGATTCAGGGAAACCGGCAGGCCGGACTTGAGTCCTGGAGATGGGAAGTACAGTGCCTGCACTCTGAAGGAGGGGTGTTAATGTTGCAGTTTAAAAACTGTAGTGTAAAGCACCCTTCTGGCAAGACAGTGATGGAGTGAATGATGGTGAAAGTTTTTCTTTTTCGGGCCACCCTGCCTTGGTGGGAATCGGCCGGTGTGATAATAAATAAAAAATAAAAATCTATAAATGTCCAAACCATCTCAATAGCCCCTCCTCAGCCCTCTGGATAATAGTATTGGTAATCCTGCACCACCTCCTAATCTCCAAACTACAGATTCTCTGCATTATATTCACACCACACATTGCCCTCAGACATGACATCTCCACTGCCTCCAGCTGCCTTCTCACTGCAGCATTTACAACCTATGCTTCACACCAATATACGAGTGTTGGCAAAGTATTGGTATTAAATACCATAAAGCTGGGAAAGGATCAATCAAGATGCAGAT